GGAATTTAAGGTTACATTGCAGCCGGAAAAAATACTTAAAATCTGTTGGAATTTATTCCCATAGAGTAGCTAAAATACTTTTATGGGCCGATGGCCTTAAATTTGTCAATAAAGACCATATATATATATATATATATATATATTATGCGGTAATAGAGGAATTAATACACAACTACATGAATATTGAAACTCGACAGCACTGTTTCGTAACTCGCTCATCAGGAGCTTTATGTTTAATTCACTGCACCAACGAGCATACATATACTTCGCAAATTAACATATTAATTAAAAATAAAAACATACAGGTTTAAGTGTTACATAATAAGGCTTTTGATCTGTGTCGGCATGATGATACGAGTTCATTTCTTTTGTTTAGTGTGGAGTGGTGAGGTCTAAAAATTATTATAATTTTTTCCTTCAAACATAGAATGCATCGTTTGCTGGAGCTACTGTACGGGCTACCACGAGCAAGAATTTTCCATGTTATTCTGTGCTCAATATTTTTTTCTTTGAGTGACCAAACATGTTTACTTAGTTCTGTCGCATTTCTAGAGGCCTGATTACGAAATGAGGCAGTGTGATTTCTGTACCTTGTTTTGAATTCATTTCCAGTGAGACCGACGTACTTTTCGCTAGTTTGTTTGTCTAAGCGCGTAACTTCCGCTTGGTATATCACACCGGACTGCAAACACTTCCCGTCCAGTGGACATGCCGTTTTTTTCTGACAATTGCATAGTTTGTTGACTTTCGTTTTATCAGTTGTGGTGCTCTTATCAGTCGCGAGTTGCCGTTTGTTTTTACTGTTGATGGTATCTTTTATATTGTTCATACAGCTATAGCTGACTTTGGTGATATTTCGGTTGAATATTTTCCTGAGAAAACTTAAAATTACCAAACATTTCGGACTTTGCGGCCGGGATGAACATAGAAAGTTGTGCCATGGAGATATTACTGTACAACGAGATGGTGCGGGACGCGAATTTTTGCAGTTCAAAGAACGCGACACTAAGACTCTGGATGGAAAGTATGGTGATCGGCGTGTGGTTCCCCCTCGCATGTTTGCCCTTCCCGACAGTTCCAGAGACCCTGTCCGAATTAATAGAGAATATGTTCGACACCGTCCGATTAGTCCGTTTTATATCCAACCGATTCCCGCATCTCGTGTCAACTCACTTTCGTGGTATTCTTCTCGTCCGATGGGGAAAAACAAGATAGCATCATTCATGCCCCGTGATGCCACTTCCACGTCCTTTACCAGAAGAAAAACAAACCACTCTGTTCAGAAGATGACTGTACAAACCCTGACGAAAGCCGGTATTCCACCACAACAAATCATGAAGATAACTGGTCACAAAAACGTGTCAAGTTTACAACACTACGATACCGTCTCCTTGGAAGATCATCGGCACATTTCCGATATTCTTAGTCGAGCTACGCCCGAATCTAGAATTGTGACCCAAACTGCTTCTTGTCAAGCAATTGTTTCTTGTTCACCGACTATTTTTCAACAACTGTGAAATCAACATTTCTCTACCCGCGGTTACAACATCAGCTCCAAGAAAACGTCTGTTTGTTATATAAGATTCAGACAGTCAGTAAATGACCAACTTAGCTGAACTGTAGTGTTCAAGAGTTTATAATGAGTTCGTATTTATTACCGTTATATTGTTATAAATTTGCGTTCACTTGCTGTTTCATTAAAACGTAAATTGTAGATATATTTGGCGACATTATTTGTGTATTGTGTTGTTGACGCGTTCCCGGATTGAATCGAATAGGTTTTCTTTTGGGACCAAACAACCAAAAAAAAAAACATCACTAAAGACTTGTTTTTTCTTGAACTGGATACGGAGCCGTATCCAATTCATAAAGAATATTAGAATCCCCCGTATAAATCCACGTCATAAAGACTTCCTCGTATTGGTCATTCTGTGTTATCGTACGACACTCAACGAAAGGGTTATTTTCTATTCGAAGGATAAAGTTTTCGACAATAAAGCATAGCGTAATTATTACAACCTTGCCCATTGACAATAACACTATTAATCAGCAAAGATGGCGGTATACCCACAGATTTCCTCGAATGATCAAGCATAGCATTGATCACTTTAGAACACAAGGAAAACAAAACAAAAATGTTGAATTTGGGATTTGGGAAAAACTAGGTCATTTGTCACGAGTCTGGCGTTTTCTCGGTGAATCGGACGAATGAAATTCTGTGCAGACATATTCAATTTTTTTTTTACAATCAGTCCGAAAGAAAATATCTCCGATAGCTCGATGGTTATATCCTATCGAACTGTCTGTAGTAACCACACAGTGACTAAAAAACATCTTTCAAGAGCTTTTGTTCGGTTTTGGCGAATTCTATTTCAATAAAATATTACAAAAGTTACAAATTTGTGGTGGGTCATTTTCATTTCAATTTATTCGGCGACCAAAAGAAAATTATTGGTACATGATGAGATGGCCTCAGATCCGACTGTGTATTTCCCGTTTTTTATTATTTTTTTTTCAGGCAAAACGATAGTCACTTTACACATATGAATCGTAATTACCTAGACAGACTCACGACCGGATGTGACCGAAACTGCCGACTCAAATACTATTAGTTCAAGCCAGACGTTATTCAACCACAGCTCAGGTGAATAACTTCCGCTCGGCTGTCGGGGCTAAAGTCGGTCAATTTACACAGCACCCCACTACGTCAATTTTCACCTAGTACGTCATAACGCAGTATAAAACGAACCATAAATATTACACTGACTATACTTTTAAGTATACACCATTCAAAAATATGAGATTGAAATTATGTATTCGTATAATGAAACGAAAAATATATATGTTTGCAACTATCTACAATTGACCGACATCAAATTAGTTACTAGCAGATACAAAAACGGACTCCCAATAACAACTACCGTCGTTCGAGCACCTCCCGGTAGGTCAATTCAAGTGGTGAGAGTGGTTAGAAACATTAAATACACAGTGTGAAACACAAAATAATTATATTTGCAGACGATCGTTGTGCGTAAAATTTAGGTAGGAATAATTCTGACACACAATTTTGCACCAGGGCTCTATTTTTTTTGTTCCGAGGCTGGAAGAAAAACCTTGAAAACCTTATTATTCATGTTCTTCAATAGTTATCTCAACTGTCTCTTGTGGAATAATTACACTCGATGTGTATAAAAGTTTACTAACAATAATACAGCAATATATTTAAGCAACATTTTGACGGGAAAGCAACTCTTGATTATAAATACACAATGAAAACAACAATCTAATTATTATACCTCATTACCATGACAACCAATCAGATTCCCGTATTGCAGGTAGACATACTCGTGTGTCGACCTGCTGCCATATTCGTATGTCTACCTCCATCCGGGTACCTTATTCCTGAATTTACCTGATTTACGCCAATAACTTGTTAAGGGAACACGATATGCGGCAATATTCATGAACTGATTAGTTTGCAAGGTTTTCGTTCACTATTTGACGAAATTGGTAAAAAAACTAGGATTTTGTAGCCATTTCGCGCGTGATTTTTGCGTTTCGCCAGCGCGCTACGCGCTTTGAGAAATTCGATCTTCGATTGCGCAGTTGTCTACCTAAAAAATCTGAGAGTCGTGGGCTTTGACTTGTAACGGCACAGTTTTTTTTTTTTTTGCGTTTTGACAGTATATCAACATATTATGTACAGTGTATTTGTTGAAAGAGAATGGTGTTGACAGAAACCTATACTCAAACAGTGTGCAGCTTTGTGTGCAGCTCGTTTCAGTGTTCTAATGCAAACCAGATCGCAGTGTAGCGTGGCGCCGTGTGTGTTTATAAAAATCAATTCTTCGCCAGGCTGAAGCTGCTGAAATTAGGTTTATCAATACAACAATGGAAGTAAAAAGGCATCAATGATAAAACTCAATAGAATTCAAGCACTGCCCTTGAACTCATTCAGCTCTACGAGCGTGACCTGGAAGATAGCCATGATTGAGTGCAACAATTTCTGTTTAAAAAATTATTCAGAGCCCATTGTCAACCGAGGCGAAGCTCTTCGGGTCGCTAAAACTGTATGTCCACCTCTGTTTGGGTGAACGTTTGTATATTGACACATAACTAAAATCTGGTTCTCATTACCTGGCAATATGTATCTATATTACACGATGTAAATATCATATCGATTTATTGAAATTTTCAATTTGAAGAGTTGTTGTAACTAGAAGAAAACAATTGTAGGTGAAATTTAATCAATTT